ACCATTCACTCCCAGCTCTTTAGAAATGAACGGAGAGTAAAGGAGTCATTTCGGAGGGCTCATTATGGGCCAGGCATTCTCTCTCATTCAGTTCTCATAAGTGTCCTAAGAACTAGGTGGTGGTACCCCCATTTTACAAATGAGGAAACTGAATCTCAGAAAAGCTGAGAGAGCAAGGAGTTCGAACTTACAAAGCTAGTAATTGCCAGAGCTGGGATTTGAACTCAAGATCGTCTGACTCTGAAGCCTATTATCTTGCCCTATACCACACTTCTGTAAGGAAAGTGTATTAGTTTTTTATTGCTGCATAACAAATGACCACAAACTTAGCAGCTTCAAACAGTACCTATTTATCAGTTCACAGTTCTATAAGTCAAAAGTCTGACACAGCCTGACAGGCTGTTCTCAGCTCAGAGTTTCACAAGTATGAAATCAAGGTGTTGGCCAGCCTGCATTTTAATCTGGAGCTCAGGGTTCTCATCCAAGTTCATGTGATTATGACAGGATTCAGTTCCTTGCATTTGTAGGATTAAGGTTCCCATTTCCTTTCTGGCTGCCGTCCAGAGGCTGCTCTCAGCTCCTAGAGGCTGTTCTCGTTTCTTGGCGTATTGATCCCTCCACCTTCAAAGCCAGCAACAGAGAATCTTCCTTATGTTGAATTCCCTGGACTCCACAGATGTCTTTCCAGAAAGAGCTTTGTCCCTTTTAAGGCTTCATCTGATTAGGCCAGGCCTGTCGAGGATAACCAGCCTTAAAATTCAGTTGAATTATGACCTTAATTACATCTATCCAGCCCTTCCACAACCACAGGTAGATTAGTGTTTGACTAAATAACTGGAAGAAGATTGTGAGCAACCAGGGATTAGGACGCTTGGGTGCCATCTCAGAAGTCCACCTACAACAGAAAGTGATTCTTTTGTGCTCCAAAGTTTATGGAGAAGAGAAATATCCTTGACCTTAGGGAGAGTGATCCAAGTTTTCTAAAACTTGTGGAACTTCACCTCACCTGCCTCTTCCCTACCCAGGGATGAGAAGGCCTCTATCTTGAGGCGGCAAGGAATGAGGCTGGAACAGTACCTAAAGGTCACAGTGGCTACAGAAGCTACATATAAATCGCATCTACCTCTCCTTGGGGATGGGCCATGGAAACTGAATTGAAAAATCTGTCTCTGGTGCTATAGAGAGCCCTCACAGGGGTCTAATGCCACCAGGCTGAAAAGTGAGTTCTCCAAAGGATCCAGGCAGCAGGATCCAGACATCATGTCAGGTGCTCCAATCCCTTAAAGAGCTGGTAGGGACAAGGAAGTAACTTGCCAGTGCCCTTTTGTTGTCACTGATCTGAGACTGAAAGACGGGGAAGAGATGCAAAGCAACTAAAACACTGTTAGATTATCCACCTTTACTGTCCCTTTTCTCCTGGCTTCTCAGTGTAAGTAAACCAATGGGTCTCTCCTATAGCGGGGGCTGGCAGGCCTGTACCTCACATGAAAGAGTTAGAGCTGACTCCGGGGCTCAGGTGCAGGAGGAAGGAGGGCTGTGGGGGTGGCCTTCATGGAAGAAAACAAGGCCTTGGGCATTGAGTAACAGCTGAGACTAGCAAGCCTCATTGTCCAGCATTCCAAGTCGTCTAGCAACATGCTGGCCTCTGCTGCAGAAAGAGAACAGAGGATCCCCTGGCAGAATGAATGGAATCTGATTTCAATTATGTCCAGTACAGTCACCCTCTTCAGGCAGAGAGGCCAGAACACCTGGTGCAGCTTGGGCCACTGTGGCTGCAGGGACAGCACATTACCCAGGTCCTAGACGCAAGTGGGAATGCAGCTTCTTTTCCTCAAGCAGATACCATATAAGTCTAGAGGAGGAGGATGTGAAAATACCAGCCAAGTTCTCATGAGCACTGTGCAGAAAAGGGGAATTATTTCATGTTGATGGACTCTCCCCACAGTCTCTGCACATATTGATCTTGCCTATAATGAGTTTGCTTAGGTCCACGAGTCATCACCCCACTGAGATCTGAGTCATTGGTGGGAGAGTCGAGGTGACAGAGTGTACCTCACTGATTGCACCAGCACCAATTGCTTTGTCCCCATACCTTTGAGAAAAGCCCAAGGATTCATCTGTATAAAATTTATTTAGATTATTTTCTTCTTTATCAATAGCATGAGTAGGGCATAACAAATGAGACAGCTGCCCCAGAGAACAGTCTAAGTTCACAGCATTATTCCATAGAACTTTCTGAGATGATGGAAATATTCTATATCTGTATTGTTGAGCACTTGAAATGTGGCTAGTGAGACTAAGGAATTCTATTTTCATTTTCTTTAATTTTAATTAATTTCAATTTAAGTAGCCACATGTGGAGAGCCGCTACTGTGTTGGACAGGGCATACCTAGAAGGAGCTCAGAGAGGTAAGTGCTGTGATAGAGTAGAATCGGGTTAGCCAAAAGGAGAGCCAATGTGGCACAGGGAACTCTGGATTAGGAATAAAAGCCCGGGTTTTAGTCTTAGCTCTACCACTAGGTGACCTCACTCTTTCCGGCTTCAGCCTCCCCAGCTTTGACGCGAAATGTTGGATTAAGGTCAAAAGTCCCAAAATGGTAGCTAAGGACTGAATTTAACTTTGGAATACAGATGAGTTCCAGGAAAATTTTTTAAATATTACATGAATGCCTTCTAGGGTTTTGTGTATGTGGGTGTCCACATGCATGTGCATGGCAAGGGCAGGACGGCCAGTAGTCGTTTACTCCAGTTCACCAGAGTGCCTCCCATTCCCCTACACACGCATGCACGCGCACACACACACATACCACTGCATTACCTGTGTAGACTCTGAAGGTATATCGAATCTGTGGCCTTTGGATGAGATGATTTCTAAAGGCCCTTCCTACTTTGTCATGCTGTGAATTTTTAGGCCACTACAGTGCTCCAAGCCTGGTTTTACTTTGGGCACGTGACTAGAGTATTTTCATAGTTTCCTGCCTCTTGTGTTCTGGATTTGATGCTAGTTCCTGAAGTTTGGAGTCAAGGGTGAGGATGGAAATCTGGGAGGATATAACCCCAGCCCCACTCCTCAACTCCACTGTTCGGCTAGAAGTAGGGTTCGGAGCTTCAGAGACCTTGAGGAGGCAGCATGTTATATATAGTAGAAAGAACATAACCTTTGTAGTCAGCAGACCAGGTTCAGATTATTGGGTTCTCTTTCTTTCTTTTTTTAAAAAGACTCTATTTATTTGACAGAGAGCGAGAGAAAACACAAGCAGGGGGACTGGCCGGCAGAGGGAGAAGTAAAAGGGGGGCTCTATCCCAGGACCCTGGGATCATGACCTGAGCTGAAGGCAGATAGGTGTTTAACCGACTGAGCCACCCAGGTGCCCCAGGGTTCTCTTTCTTTGATAGCTGTGTTTCCTGAGTTTATTCACTTGTAAAACAGGGATAGGAAATATTCCTAATCTCCTAAAATCATTGTGGAGTTAAATGATGTAATGTGTTCATAGACTGAGGCATGTAGAAGACCCTGAAAAAATAGTCACCCTCATTTTTCTTAGTTAGCCCTCAGGCAGAGGGCTAATTACATCTCTGTCCTCTTTCAGGTTGGAATGGGGGACCATGTGGTCTGTCAGCTCCTGAGCTCAAGGCCAGAAACTGCTAGTGATGAGAAAGATGGGGTCTCCCTCTAGAAACTGTACCAAAGGAACAGACCCAGTAGGCATGGCCAGTCTGTGGAGCTGCCTACAAGAAGTCATGTCAGCCATGGGTTCACCAGATGCCAAGACATTTTGGAGGCCAGGCCTCTAAATCTGGGAGAAGATGGGCCCATACCTTCCATCCTGTGCCCTTGGTGGAAGGTGGGAGGTGGGAGTTGACTGTGTGTGTGCATATCTCCTTATCACTGACTGTCCAAGCCCTGCAGAAATGGCTGCTGGACAATGTCATCTTGCACTCTGGGCTGATTTTCCAGAGTACTCTGAGTACTCTGTACTTCTCTTACACCACCAACCTCACCATTTTCTCCTTCTCTCTCCTGGTTGTTGATCTAAACATGTGATCCATTCTTGCGTTGACTTACTGAGTTGCACTATGACTGGAGTTTGCAGGACTTATTTTTCTAATTAGAGCTGAAAGTCAGTTCCAGATAAGTATCTTTTTCTATAGGATCCAGAAACATATCAGCAACAGGTTTTGTTGCATTTATCCATTTAAATTGAGCAATCAACTTATCTCTTTGTTTTATTTTTTATTTATTATTACTTTGAAGGGATTAGAGATAAAGTGGTTTAGGGTTCTCTCCGGTGCAACTGCCTTTGCTAGGCCTCAAAGTTATGACCTCCCCAGTTATTTCTATTTCTGCCAATATGAACACTAGTAAATATCAGGATGCCCAAGTACCTCTAAACTGTGTGTGTGCAAGCACGGTGCAGGGCGGGGCGGGCGGGGGGTAGAGGATGTTTCTTAAGGCTCAAGTTTGGGATTATTGTTGTTTCAAAAGAAGCTGTTTCTATCATCCTTTCTAAAGGCTGCTTCTCAGAATGGGTCCCATTTCACAGACTGATAGAGTCAGGGATATTCTGTTACTCCTTTGATAATACTGGGGATTTCAGCCCTTTAGTTCCTCAATCTGCCCTTTGCTAAAGAAAAAAACTCACTATGTGTGTTACAGTGTATGTTCAACTATGGGCATAATGTCTGACAATATCTGAGGCTGTATAGTGTTCAGTAGAAAACGCTGTAACACCAGAAAATTCCCATTTATTAAATCCAGGGTGGGATTGAAGAGAAAGCAAGATATGAAGGTATGGGTTTAGTAGGGATTTGAAATGATAACTCACTCATTCAACCAGTGTTTAAACTGAGCACTTGTCCTTAAGGAGTTTAGATTCTGTGACCAGGCAGAATGAATATCCCTAGTATCTTAGCTTAGGCAACTTTTCTAACGGGGTAGCTGAGTTGGTGTGTTTTTGTCGTCGATAATAAATCCAAGGTTTCCTTTCCTTCCCTATAGCCCGGAAGCTGAAGAAACTTGGTAATCTGAAACTACAAGAGGAAGGGGAGGCTTCCAATGCCACCAGCCCCACTGAGGAGCCACCCCAGAAGCTGACGGTGTCACACATTGAAGGCTATGAGTGTCAGCCCATCTTTCTGAATGTCCTTGAAGCCATCGAGCCAGGCGTGGTGTGTGCTGGACATGACAACAACCAACCTGACTCCTTTGCAGCCTTGCTCTCTAGCCTTAATGAGTTGGGCGAAAGACAGCTTGTACATGTGGTCAAGTGGGCCAAGGCCTTGCCTGGTAAGGAAATGGGAAGAGGGGGCATGGGATAAGGGAGATCATATTTAATGAATTGCTCCTGTGGGCCAGCACCATGTCTTAACTCATGCAGTCCTCATCATAGCCCTATGGAGGGTAGAGATTGGTATAATTCCCACTTGAAAAATAAGGAAACTCCTAAATCAAGGAGAAGAGCAGCATTATAGAGTATCCCATGTTCCTCACGTCAGCACACAGCGGTCACGTTTGCATGTTCAACCTACAGACATAGCAAATTTCCCCATAATCACAGATCATATGGACATACCCTTATATGCCTTAAGACACTCTTGTACATGTGCACACACCGGCTTACCCGCAGAGATTGTCTTGAGCCTGACTGTCTTCAGTATTACCCGCAGGAGGCAAACCATGGGAACTCTTATAATACGGTATGGTGGAAAGAAAGAGTTGGGCGTCAGAATACTTAGGTTCTAGTCTTAGCTCTGCTGGTAACTCGTTGTGTGATCCCTTCCCTTTCTGGGTCTCAGTTTCTTCATCTATGCTGTGTGAGGAGTAGTTTGGACTAAATGGATGGTTGTCAAATTGTGCTTCAAGGAACACTTAGTGCTCTTTAAACTGCCCTAGGAATTATAGTAGGAGGTAATATTAGGTGATAATGAAAGAAATACAAAGTGTTTGTCTAACTTCTGCTTGGTTACCACCAGTGATGGGGAACTCACTCTCTCCCTAGGCCATCTGATGTTTGAACAGGTCTGATTATTAACATATTAGAGGTTGAAGAAGCCTCAGAGCTCCTCTGTCCAAGGATTCCCAACCTTTCCTTTATCAGCCCAACTCTACTTCTTAAAAGCATTGTATACAGATCCAAGTGGAGCTGGTTGATTTAAAGCCAGTGCCTCTCCCTCACCACCCTGAGAGAAGCCTCAAGTCACTCTTGCAGAATCTTAGGGCTCCAAGGAACACAGTTTGGAAACAAGTGAAGCATAAATTCTTTAAGGGTTGTCTTAATACTAAAGTTCTATGACTCAAAGATTGTTTTGAAACATCAACAACCTAAACCTGTTATGGAGTCAAAGATTAACCTGCCTTCTAAGAAAAACTGCCATTCGGAAGGAAATTTATAGTGAACACAGCAGTTTCCTTTGTATTACCTGATTTCATCTTCCTAACAGTCCTATAAAGCAGGGATTCTTTTTCCCATTTAACAGATAAAGCCACTAAAGCTCTAAGAAGTCAGGTGCTTGGCCTACAGTTACACAGTCTGAAAGTAGCAGGGCCGGAACTTGAGCCCAGGTCCCCTCCTGATTCCAAATCCCCTCCTCATCCCACTCTACTGTGGGATGTGTCTGTGTGGTATCCCTGTAGTTCTGGAGCCCTGGGATTTACAGTGAGGGGCCAAAACCTCATCCAAGCCCACTTGGGTCATAATATGATCTTGTTGCCTTCGAAGACATTGTATGTTGGCTATCAAGCCTCTGTCTTTCTAACTCACAAGGCCCAGCCATAGCCACCAGACCATCCTAACACCTTCCTCGTTTGAGAAGCTGAGGTCGACTAGCCAGTAAGATCACTGGGAAGAAAGCCTGAGGACTCTGGTTGTGTATGCACTGTGACAAAACAGAGGGTTCACAAAGGGGAAAAAAAAATACAAAAAAGAATAAAAGAGAAAGTTGCTTGAATTTTTATTACTTATTCGGCTGGATGTCTTGATGTCGTGTATAACAGAGAATCAGCTTAATCTTTCCTAGTTGTTGCCAACCACTTAAATTATCCTATTTTATGGGATAGAGAACCTTTTCAAAGATGTGATTACACTTAATCCTCACAGCAGTCCTGTTATTCAGAGGAGCTATTACTTCCATTTCAAATGACAAGGCTCAGAGAGGTTAACTAACTTGTTCCATTTGGTCATTTAACAAATGGAGCCAGAATTTGGGCTTACATTGTCTGATTTCTAATTTGGTGGTCTTAACAATAACCTAGTGCAAATCATTATGGCAGAATTTGTATGACCGGCAGTCACTGGCTTTGTTCAGCTCAACCTCCAGAATGGGAAGCCGTCTCTTTACGTTAACAAGTCTGCAAGTCAGTGTCAGTTCACCATCTAGCTCATCCAAGGAGATGATTTCCAATCCTGAGTCATTTAAAGTGACAGCTTCGAAAGAAAGCCAATTGCCACACTCATAAGAACTGTTATTCATATCATCAGTAATTACCTGCTAGTTCAAGTTATTTGCTCATCCAGCAGATTGAGTTCCTGTCCTGTGCGAGCCACTGTGCTAGGCATCTACTCCAATAAATTTTGTTATAAGTTTTCTGTGATGGTGATGATATATGTAAATCACCTAGTATAGTACCTGGACATTAACATGTAACAACTGTCAATTGAGGGTGGGTGAGTAGGTTGTATACAAGTACATTTATCATCAGTTGCTTCTGGTTTGGAATCTCAGCTAAACACTAGCTGTGTGACTTTGAGCAAATCACATGTTTGCATGTGCTTCTGGTTTCTCATTTGTAGAGGGGGTACAACAGTCACTGACTTGCTAATTGTTAGTAACATTGAGATCATGTCGAAAGAGGACCTAGCACAGTAGCTGAAACCACAGTAGATGCTGTGTAAATGATGGGTCATTATTATGAGGCGGGAATGCCAAGCCACTGCTTTCACCAAAGTCAATTTAAGCTGCCACCAGCCTTGCTTTAGAAGCTCATGCCTGGGTCCCAGGGATGCTTTATCTTATGTGAAGACCTTAGCTGTCAGATGCACTATAGCACTAAAGATTTCCCAGCTGGCCTTTCTTTGGACACGTCCTCCCAGACTAGATAGGGGACTACAGGTTTCCACTGCAGATTGCTAAGCAAATATGATTGAATTTTATCGAGAAAACAGAATCTCAGTGAAACTTTCTCTGCTCCCTAACCTGTTTGGTGTGTTTCAGAACCTGACAGTGACTCCTCTCTATTTCTCCAGAGTAGCCTAACACAGTGGCAAATAGGTGTTAAGTGAAGGTGTGCTGAAGGAAACCTGTAGGCTGGAGCTACTGTTTGCTCAAGTCATCCCTTACTTAATAGTCATGCTAGCTGGGCAGGCAACTTCAAAGGCTGGGCATTAAAAAACAGAGTTAGGTATTGTGATCATATTAGACCTATAGGAAAATTAGCCTGCTGTGTTGTTGATGTGGACACAGTAATTAGGATTGAGCAAGTCTCACTCAGGACCATTAGTATTATTACAATTAGTACTACAGCCAAACTAAGCTTTCCCTTTTTTCTCTTCTTTGTTAGTTCTCTGGCATCTCGAGGAAGGAAAAAAGCATCAGTATTGACAGCTTCCTTGGTACTTGTATAGTTTAATCCTCATTCCCCCTCGGCACCCTCATATTCACAAACTAAGCAGTCAAGTCTTTCCTTGCTTCCACTGCAGAGGTTCAGGGTTCAAGCTCCCAGGCCCTTTCCCCAAGAGGTGTTCCATGCTTGGTCCCTGCTTTTTGTGTCCTACTAGGAAGAGTCAGTACCAGGAGTTCTGTGCTACAGAATGACTTCTGGCAGGAAATACTCTGGGGTCTGAGACTTCAGCTAGTCTGTCAGCATATCACTACAGTGAAGATGGGAGGCACAGGCCTGGGAGCTAAGATTGCAGCCAGTCCATTGAGCTGCAGAGGTGGTGATATGGGGACTCTACAGTCCCTGATGTCTGGTAGGCTTTGGACCTAAAAGAAAAGAAAAGCGAAATGGGGTTTTTGTGTGGGCAAGGACCAACCAAGCACAATAATGTGTCTAGACAGTGTAGACTTCAGACCTGGGCCTATGGTTAAGAAACACTCACACTTGGTAGTTCTTGGGCTGTGTCCTTCAGCAGTAGAGTGGGAAAAGCACTGAAGTAGAGAATTAGAACACCTAAGTTCTAGTCCCAGTTCAGCCACATAAAGACTATACGACCTTGGGGAAGTCGGTTAACTTGTCTGGCCCTCAGAATCTTTGTTGGCAAAATGAGTGTCACATTGTCTACCCTCCAGGGTTATTGTGAGACTTAAATTAGGTGATCAACAGGAAAGTTAGAAGCTTTATCTAAATTCATGGAAGCATTCCTAATGATGTATAGCAATACAAACAGATAATTCTGGCTCTTTTGGGGAAAAGAGAAATAGGGTACTGGTAGGAGATGAGCCCTGAGGTGATTCTCTAAACATCCAACTGTCTCAAAACTTCCAGAAGTGTATAGCTACATCTGTCCTACCTGTGTGGTATTGTGGAAGTAGCATCTAGGAGCCTCCGTTCTCTCAGACTAAGGGAGATAATTTGGAGATCATCTAATTCCCATTTTGTAAAATGAAAAAAAAATGGGGGTCCTTATTCCATTTAATTACTATCAAATTAATACATATAATAAATATTAAATTAATATTTCAAAGGCGTGTACTCAAATATCTGAACTGTGCTATGTACTAGGGAGGAAAAGATGAAAAAAAGGGATGGTTCCTGTCTTCAGGAATCGACAAGTCTTGTGGAGGAGACAGATGTGTACATAAGTGTACATAAGGGTACGTAAGTAAATTCCAGTACTGTGTAATGAGTGCTGTAATTTGTAGGGCTACACAAAATTCAGTAAGAAGGTAAAAGAAGAATCATTAAGTCTTCTGCTTAGATGAGTTGGAAAAGGCTTCACAGAGGAAGTAGCTTTTCAGTGAAGACTTGAAAGATGAGTAGATATTTATCAGATGGAAAGCCTGGGGCGGGAGGAATGCATTCTAGGCGAAGGCAACTGCCTGTGCAGAGAGAGCAGAGATGCAGAGGCATAAGAAAGTATGGTGTGTTCAGCAAACTAAACATTTTAGAATAACTGGAACCTAAATTATGAGAAGTGGCAAGAAATCAGTCTAAGGAGGCAGGCCATAAAGCACTTGTTTGTGTAGAATAATGGCAATAGGGCAGGAATGGCAGAGTAGGAAACTAGCAGAGCCAGGTTACTTGCTGAGTAGAAAATAATGGACAGGAAGTGAGAGTCCAAAAGAGGATCAGAGAAAAAAGAGGGAGCCTGAAGGTGGTGTAGAGAAGGCAGTGGCTATCAAAGGCATTCCAATGTATGCCGATATGTAATAATATCCATTTCCCAGGGTTGTTCGAAGGGACAATTAAGATTATAGCTAGAAAAGATCTTTGTAAAGTGAAAAGTGCTGTTCACACAGGAGAAGTGATTATTACGCTGCATCTTCAGAAAAGCATAGTAAGCAAGAGCACAGGCTTTGGAGTCAGGCCGCTTGGCTTTGGAACGTGGTCTGCCAATTACTAGCCTTATGATCTTGGACAAGTTTTTAACCTTTCTGTCATGCATGTTTACTGATTCATGGAATGGGCTTACTAATAGTACCTACTTTATTGGATTGCTGTGAAGATTAAATGAGTTAATGTAAGTAACATACAAGAGTTCATCCATTGTAAGCAGCCAGTGTTAGGTTATTATTCTCTTCCAAATGACAGTACCATTTTTGGCCTCCATCATCATCTCATTTGAGTAGCTTAGTGAAGTAGGGAGAGCAAAGAATATTATCCCCACCATATAGTTTGTTCTTCCCCTGCTCCTCAGCATTAATGGTCCCTGGGGCTCCTCAGGAGCTGCCTGAGTGCCAGAGGTTCTCCGCCCAGTAGAGGGCTGGGACTTCATTCAGCCCATCAACGCTCAGTCTGACCACTGCCTCTGCCCCATCTTCAGGCTTCCGCAACTTGCACGTGGATGACCAGATGGCAGTCATTCAGTACTCCTGGATGGGACTTATGGTGTTTGCCATGGGCTGGCGGTCCTTCACCAATGTCAACTCCAGGATGCTCTACTTCGCCCCTGACCTGGTTTTCAATGAGTAAGTCCCCGTGGGCCCAGAACTCACATAAACATAACATCCTGGCCAGACCTGGTCAGCGGTGATGATGATAATGGGAGTAACAGTGGGGGAGGGGGTAGCCCATTTGACCTGTAGGTGAGGCAGTAGAGGCTCCAGCCAGCCTCCCCAACCTGAGGTGCCTTTGCCCTGCCGAAAGGCCACCTGGTGGAAAGCAATGGCGGTGGAGGGGGATGGTGGTTGGTGTGGAGCCATTCCTTTCCCACCCAAGACCTAGTATTTTGGCCATGTTTCTGACCTGTCCTGTAGATTTTCTCCACCTCATGTCAAGATCCCTCTCCTTCACTCTGAGCAACACAGGGAATGGGCAAAAAGACTAGCTGTGAGAGCTGAAGTTCCTGTGGTCCCCTTGCTACCACTGAGGGCTACTGCCAGTCACCATTTGTCGAGCAGCTCTGCTGTGCCAGGACTATACTAGATACTTCCTAAGTCTAGATACTTTCTCATTGAGCCCTCAGGATAATGAGATTTCCCCTTTTTATAGGTAATATTTTTTAATGCATGAGTAAAAGTAGGCTCAGCAAAATAAAGTGGCTCACCCAAGGCATGATGGTGACAGAATTCAAAGTATGTCTGTATAACTCTCAGCTCTTATACTGCCTCATGGTGGTAAATGACAGGGAGGAGCAGTTCTACCACTCTCTGGCCATGTGACGTTGGCCCAGCCACTTCTCTTCTCTTTAAAAACAGGTTTAAGTGGCGCCTGAGTGGCTCAGTTGGTTAAGCGTCCAACTCTTGGTTTTGGCTCAGGTCATGATCTCAGGGTCATGAGACCTAGCCAGCCCCACATTGGGCTCCACGCTCAGCAAGGAGTCTGCTTCCCCTCTCTCTCTGCCCCTACCCCCACTTGTGCTCTCTGTCTCTCTCTCAAATAAATAATACATCTTAAAAGAAATAGCCCATATGTCTATCGACAGATGAATGGATAAAGAAGATGTGGCGTGTGTGTGTGTGTGTGTGTGTGTAATGGAATATTACTCAGCCATCAAGAAGAATGAAATCTTACCATTTGCAAGTAGTGCATGGATGGAACTAAAAGGTATTATGCTAACCAAAATAAGTCAATTAGAGAAAGACAGTTATCATATGATTTCACTCATGCATGGAATTCAGTATACAAAACAGAGGATCATAGGGGAAGGGAGGGAAAAATAAAATAAGATGAAGTCAGAGAGGAAGACAAACCATAAGAGACTCTTAACTACAGGAACAAACTGAGGGTTGCTGGAGGGAAGTGGGGTAGGGGATGAGGGTAACTGGGTGATGGGCATTAAGGAGGGCACATGGTGGAATGAGCACTGGGTGTTATATGCAACTGATGAATCACTAAACTCTACCTTTGAAATTAATAATACACTATATGTTAATTAACTGCATTTAAATAAAATAATATTTTTTAAAAATAATAAATAAAAATAAAAACTAAAAACAGATTTAATTAATCCTTGTCCTGCCCACCAGCTCTATTTATCCTTCATGAATTTGGCCAAGGGCTCAGACTTTGGAATTACACTTACCTCAACTAAAATCTCTGTTCTATAATTTCCTGAATCACTGTCTTTGGGCAAGACTTGACTTCTGTGACCTTCAATTTCCCTGTCTGTTAATAAAATATAACTTTCTTAAATGGTTTGTTATGATGACTAAAATGGGAGCTAATGGATGTGAAATGCCTGGCCCATGATAGGCAAGAAATAAAAAAGAAGGACCTTTCTGATCCTCTTTCCCTAATAGTGATAATCTTCTCTCTGTCTGTTGTTCGAGGTCCCCCGATAGCATGTGACTGGAGCTGGCCAAAAAAATCTCCCCAAGGACCTTGAGCTAGTCTCACCACAGAGAATCCTTTTGGATAGGGCAGGAATTGACCTTCCTTCCCCTCCAGCCCTCTAACCCAGAAGAGCCTTAAAATAAAATGTACAGGCTACTGGTTCCTTCCAGTACAGCAAGGCCATATGGGGGAAAATGAGTATCCCCAGCTGCCCTCTTCCAACCCAGCTAACCCTGGTAGCCAGGAGCTAAGAATAACCATTGGGCTTTTGGCACAACCTGCTTTATGGTTTCAAGATCTCCAAAGAGTTACTTAAGATGCCATCTTCTGGGACAGGCCTTTAAAAGCCCTCTCCTGTGTATCACCCTTACTCTCCTGCTGCCCTCCAGTGATTGAATTAACACTCTGGGCACCTGCACCACCCTCCCCATCCAGAGCCCTAAGACCCTTGAATCTTTGCAAGATGATAATTGGTGTTTTCTAAATCCTCATTCCCTTTTCTGCCTCCGTGGAAGTAATGAGGCACTCCTTCTCAGCTTTCTGGCCCACTCCCATGTAGCTCTTCAGAAGGCACAATGGGACTCCCAGCACGGGCAGGGTCCTAGACCCATCAAGCCCCAGCGCTCCTGAAACAACAGCACCCCCCTTCCTCTTGTAGGAACCACCATGTGAGAGCTCTTAGAGTCCCTAGAAACATCTAAACCAATGTTTCTCAACAGGGATGCTGGTGACATTTACAGAGGAATAATTTGGCATTGTGTAGGGTATTCTTGCATATTGGAATATGTTTATGTTTAACATGCCTGGCACCAGCCCACTAAATACCAATAGGATCTCTGTCACTGTAACAGGCCACACTTCCCCCACATATATCTGGCATCCACTAGGGAGGTAGTACACTCCAGTACCAGCCACTAATTTTTGCCAGCCTCCTCAAGATATTAATATGGAGACTGAAGCCCAAAAAGAGAGAGAGAGGGACTATGAGCCAGCCCATTTCCTGATCTCTCTGACACCAAGCCCTGTCATCAGCCCTGCTTTCTTCTCTCCTCCTCCCCTCTTTGTGGAGAACACATGTTGTGAGGGTTATGGGCTTGGACCCCAGCTGTGTGACCTTGACTAAATCACCTAATTTCTCTGAACCTCAGTCTTCTCATCTGTAGAATGGTGAATAGTATTAGAATGGCACCTTCCTACATGTCATTTATTGAACACTTACTATGTGCCAAGCACTGAGCTCAGTGTTTTCCAATTTTCATCTCTTCTGTTACCACTCTCTCTTATTCTCACCTATCTCTGCCCTCTTCCTGAATTCCATTCCTGCCCCTTGTCTTCTGCCTTCCACTCTCTTCTCCCTTTCCTTCCCATTAACTCTCTCCCTACTCTTTTTGTCCTTTCTCCTTCTTGTTCCCTTCCCCTCTGAATTCCTTCCCGTGCCTTCCCTTTTTTCTTCTTTTTTTTCCCCACATTTCTCTGTCCCTGGGACTTGCAGCAGTGTTACATCAATCCTCCACATCAGGACCATGATTTCAAATGGTAAAAAGACTGCAGCGTTATCATCAGCAGAGGCTTGGAAGTACAGTAGAGCCTGGAGCCAGATCAGGTCCAAGGGTCAGCAGATCTTACTCAAAAATTCTCTAGGGTGAAAGACCTTGGAGCAACACTGCTTTGGTCAGTTGACTTGTGATACTGTCTAAACACTTCCTCTTTCTAGCTGGTCTCCAGCCTGAATTGAATACACCATCTGCCCCCCTTCCCTTTTTCTCTAGGGCAGCCAAGATCTTTCAGAGATAGGGTGCTGGGCTTCCACCCAACCAGTACCAGGCCTGCTTAGTCCATGGACAAGGCTAGTGGTTTGGGGACCAAAATGTCAAACCACAAACATCAAGCCTAATCTTGGTCTTTTTCTTCACCACTTAAGTGGGTGTTAAATGCCCTTTCCTTTCTCCACAAGATACAAAATCAGTTTCTCTCTCTCTCTCTCTCTCTCTCTCTCTCACACACACACACACATGATTTCTGAAGTGCTGAAAACCAGGAAAACCAAATAGCAGGAAGATGGTGCATCTTCCTAGAGGCTTGCGCTTGCCATGGCCACTCATAAAACAGAGAGGTTGTTCACCCCTTAGAAACTGTTCAAGCCTTGGCCACTTCCCTATATAATTTATAGGCGATAATGTGATGATCTGTTGACAAGTCACTATAGTGAAAACAGCTCACATGTGTTTACAACTCCCGAACTGTGATAAGGAACCACCATTATATGAGGGAGTAGGCTCCCCTTCAAGGTACATTTAGATTGGACATTTGGAAACACTTCCTGGCTGATTTGATAAGTATTGGAACTCGCTTTGTGAAGGGACAGTGGGGAATCTTCTTCCCTGGATTTTTTTTTTAAGTGACAAAATTTCTAGCAAAAGAAATGGTATTTATGCCAAGAGACAGGGGAATTGACAGGATAAATTACTGTGGTCACTTGGAAATCCTGGTGTCCTTATGTTAGGAGTTGATTTCTAAAGCATAACTCCTAGAAATACTCCATGTTGGGATGCCTGGGAGGCAGGTTCTGGCTCTGGCTGTAGCTGGGATATTAGAACTGTAGTCAGGGAGACAAATGAGCCTGGCCCATGGTGTTGATTTGGTTAGGCTTTCCTGTCTCTGCCTCAGGAAGCAGGAGGGGCACGGGGACCTGGAAATTCCATGTGCTAACCCCTATCCTGACCAGGGAAGATGAGTAGTTACCAGGATGTCAGGATTTGGGGGGAAAAAAAAGAAGAAGAAGAACCTTGTTCCTTGTCAATGAAGCACCAGCAAGAGAAACAACGAGCTCTTCTTGGAGAACCTGGGCAGGGCAGGGCAACCAAAGACATTCTCTCTGAGCTTATTGTTAAGCCTTCCCTTACTCCTTTCCTTTCTCCGTCCGTCTCCTCTGCAGGTACCGCATGCACAAGTCCCGGATGTACAGCCAGTGTGTCCGAATGAGGCACCTCTCTCAAGAATTTGGATGGCTTCAGATCACCCCCCAAGAATTTTTGTGCATGAAGGCACTGCTGCTATTCAGCATTAGTAAGTGCCTGGAAAGACAAAAATGCCCCTGGGGTCAATAGGGGCTCAGAGGGGAGCTACTTTTTCCATTAAATATTTATCAGGGAGAAGCCAGCCCCTAGGCATTTCCCTTCTTCGTTCACCCTCCCTCCTCCACTCTCCCTTTAGCATCCTTTTTTTCTACCAGGTATGAATTTCATGGCTCAGACTGTTTTCTTTGCTAGAACTCAACCTCTGTTAGATCCCCAGCTACCTCCAGTCTCTCTTTGGAACAAGGCTTTTGGAGCTGGCTATAGCAGGTCTCTGAATTTTTCCATAGCTTCTATCATAGAAACAGGCACAGACCACCTTATATTTATTGCAGAGCAGAAGGAATTGCCTCTGGAAGGAATTTCCTCTTCTGCCAATAATAGGAGGTCTGTGTGAGCAACTCAGATAGGGTTTATTAGGCAGCCAAGTAATGTTTCTTTAATGTCTCTTCTAAGCAGAATGTTATCTTAGCCTCCGTGAGGGAAAAAGGAGGTCAAATTTGATATTCGAAGCTATATATTTTAATTGTCTAAATCAGAGCTGGACAGTGACAACATAAAACCACAGGTTCTAAGAAATGTGTAGATGAGAAGACTAGAAAAAGGAAAGGCTCAGTAAATTTTGTTTACTCGATGCCCTTCAGATTGGGTCCAACTAGCCTTTTGTCTAGAACTTCCTGGCAGACTGAAGGACCCAGGCATACAGACTTCAACTGACAGGAAACCAAGTAGATGGTTCCCTCCCTGTGGGGGTGGGGGTCAAGTTTGTGGTCAGAAAACTTGATGCTTTGTCTAATGCTCCTTTGTGGGCATGTTTCCCCTCCCCATTCTGTCTTCATCCCACATCAGTTCCAGTGGATGGGCTGAAAAATCAAAAATTCTTTGATGAACTTCGAATGAACTACATCAAGGAACTTGATCGTATCATTGCTTGCAAGAGAAAAAATCCCACATCCTGCTCGAGGCGCTTCTACCAGCTCACCAAGCTCCTGGACTCTGTGCAACCTGTAAGCAAATGATGGAGGGTGCTTCGTCAGGGAGAAGCAAGTTGATAGAGCTAAGTGATCATATGCTCCTCTAGGATCCGGCACCACCTCTGGCTTTGAGTGTGGTCCAGGAAGAAAATGCAATGGAGAAGAAAGGAACACAGGTCACATTGCCCCTGGATGTTGTGAAAGAGGTGGAGGAGTTGAGAACAGAGCAGTTGGGACTCAGGGAAAGGGCTTAGAGCAGATAAGTTCTCCAGGCAGACAAAACAGACCTGAATGTTTTTCCCCTCTCCCTTCAATCATGTGTGTGTGTGTGAAAGAGGCAGGAAGAGAATGTGTGTGTGGGGGGGGTGTGGGTGTGTGGGTGTGTGTGTGCATTCACGTGCATGTGCTGGGGAAGAGGAACACAAGGTCCTGAGTCAGAGAGCTTGCAATGGTGTAAGGGATCTCTTGGGATCCCTCAGTAACTCCCTGGAGACCATTTAGTGTACATGTGTGCGAACATGCACACATCCACAGGGAGGACCAAGGACAGGGAAGGAGGAAGAAATCAAAGGTGGGGGGAAGAGCCTGACGGAAGCCAACTCCTGGTCAAGCCTGTTTTCTCCCTCTCATTGCTCCCCCTACAGATTGCGCGAGAGCTGCATCAGTTCACTTTTGACCTGCTAATCAAGTCCCACATGGTGAGCGTGGACTTTCCAGAAATGATGGCAGAAATCATCTCTGTGCAAGTGCCCAAGATTCTTTCTGGGAAAGTCAAGCCCATCTATTTCCACACGCAGTGAAGCTTTGGAAGCCCCCATTTTCTCACCCCACTCCACTCCCCTTTTCAGATATCTTCTGCTTGTTATAACTCTGCACTACTTCCCTGCAGTGCCTTGGGGAATTTCCTCTTTTGATGTACAGTCTGTCATGAAGATGTTCCTGAGTTCTATTTGCTGCACTACCCCCCCCTTTCCCTCCTTTCTCTTTTTTCCCTTCCTATCTGACCCTCCCATGGCACTTTCAGACTCTGCTCCCTGCCATGGCTCTTATCTGTGCTTTGAATGGTGTTGTATTTCTTTAAATCTGTGATGATCCTCATGTGGCTCAGTGTCAAGTTGTGCTTGTTTATAGCACTGCACTGTGTGCCAGCCACACAAAAGTTTACTCACCTAATGCCACGGGAAGTTTAGAGAGCTGAGTATCTGGAAAAACAAAAACAAAACAAACAACCCTCCTAAAACCAAAAATCCTGTAGGGTTTTTTCCGCTTAAAAAAATAGAAAAACAGAATTCCCCCAACCAGGCCAACAGTGACTAGAATAAGGTGAAAATTGCAAGCCCATGGGGAGTCACTGCTTTTTTTTTTTTTTTTCCAAGTTCAGCCTCCTGGGGAGACTTTATTTTCTGCCAATGGCTATTGCCATTAGAGGGCAGGATGACCGCATAGATGAGTTAGGAGGGGGGAGACAGATTTAAGAGAGGACAAAGAGGACAGATGGATCACCAGTACCTGCCCACAGCCTTGGCCCCTGACGGCTAGACTGCTTAACTGCAGTGCAATTCATTGTACTGAAAATGTGCTTCTTGTTTGAAAACGTGTCTGCATGTGAACGCCTCCCCTCCAGCCAATCCTTTTTCTCTCTCACCCTCTGCCTCCACCCTCAAATTGACTTTCAGTAAGCTTTTCTAAGAGCTTTGGACTGAATGTTCTCTTTAGCCAAAACTTGGCCACTTCCACTGAAGAGTCAGACCAGTAAGAAAGAAAGGAGAGATCTGACCCTTTGGAAGGCCCTATCCAGAGCCAGGTCTGCTTTCCCATTTGTAGGTCAGGGAAGAGGCTGGGGCTGGAGTCAGAGGAAAATGAATCGATGGGTTGGTCGTTTTCCTGCTTAGGGCACTGAAGATTTGATCACTCTCTGCCCTTACCTTTAAAAGACCCCGATGTTTTCTGCCTGACTCCATGTGGCTGCAAGCTCCCTCTTACCCTCCCTTCAGTGTTTTGTGGGCCTGGACTTCACCAGATTGTATTACAGCCATGGTGGTGAGGTTTGTCCTAAATGGCATGTTCACAGACTCTCTGCTAAGAGCTGCTACCACCAAGAAGGCTAGCAAGCCAGCAGTCTTGATGCCAGTAGGCTCAAAGGCTTCTTACCAAATGTCGTTCATCAACTATCAGATCTCTGGAGCCCTTAGACAAACCGGAAAGAAGGCATCGATGGGACTGGACAAGCCAGACATCTTGCCCTTGTCCCCTAGAGATGATACCTTCCCACCAAGTGAAGAAATACCTACTTCTTCCTTCAGAGCAGCTAATGGGGCTATGCGGGTCACAGTTAAAGAGAAAACTCAATTACCAGGGTGAGAAGAATGAAGGCACTAGAACCAGAAACCCTGTAAATGCTGTCCTTGCCCCCCAGCATATCCACCTGCAGAAGTCATGGGAAGAAGAGAGAAGAAACTAAGAGGAGACTGACTACTAAATTAAAGTCTTCAAAGGCAAAATCTAAAGCCAGATGGGCACCATCTGGTCGGTTTACCCATCATCCTCCTCTGCTGCTTATTCTGGGCTCTGACATCGGCCATACTCACTCAGACCCCCCACCTTTGTTGCTGCCTCTCAGCCAGAGGGAGGCTGAAACATTTATACTACAGAACCATGACCTCCTTTGGAAAGGTCTGGTTTGCGTGGCTCCAATGGGCTGCCATCCATGAACTCAGGGTGTGCTCTTGGGACACTGGTTTCATATGGTCCTTTGGCACACCTCTCTTTTGCTGACTTTGTCCCCCAATCCTGAGTTCAGGGGCAATGTCCTCCTACTTTCTTGTCTTGGCAACTGCCTCCTCAGTTAGGTCTTACATTCATCTGCTAAATTCAACAAATCAGGGGCCAGTTACCAAGCTGCCCATTTCAGTTGGTTCACTCTACTTATTGAGAAGAGTTTCTGAGTGACACGCTATTATCTACATGGGTTTCCTCCCCTGATTTCTGTGCTGATATTAATAGCCAAATGAACTTGCAAAACAGCTTCTTTAAATAACAAGGGACAGGGGAACCTAAGATGGGTGATATACCAATCCAAGACTGCTGAACAAAACTAAAACTGACAGGTTCTCTTTCTGGGGTAGGATAGACAAATCCTGGTTTTCTTCATTAGGACATCATTTGGCTTATGTAAGCTTACGAGATTACTTCTGGCTGTTTTAAACAACAACAAAAAAAAAATCCATCACTCTTTTCAGTTACACTAGGCTATAGTTTAATAGCTCCTTTACATCTGTTTTAAAATTATTTTCCTCTTTTATGGTACATGGATTTGATTATATCATTCTAATATCTCTCCTTGTAAATACTAGACGCTCTCCTTTTTATTTCTCTGACTACCAAATTTTTCACCTTTATGGATTTCCCAATTGTGACTCTTGTCTTTGTGAATATATATGTTTTGCATTTGTAAAAGCCAAAAATCAGTGAAACAGCAGTGTAAATTAAAAACAGCAACAACTAAACTACTCTGAAATTCTGAATGGCAAGACTAGGGAAAAATGGCCTAAACAAGGCTGTAGGCCTAGTGTTTTCGCCCTGGGGTTTCAGTGAGTGAAGGAGATTTTAGCTTGGCTTTGTTCTCCTACAGATAAAAGGGGGATTCTCTTTTTTTCTTTTGGTCATTGATGTGCTCGCCAGTGTAACTGACAGAAGTCTCATTTGGCATGCGCTCTGCTGTACAAACAGTTGATGTGGTTGGTACACTGTGGCTCACCCGTGAAGCCTTGGCCACCTCGATCCACTGACCTGGTGAGCTGAAAGATGAGGATCACTCACCAGGCAAGTCATGGTAACTGTCTCTAAAGCGGTTTGCAGTGCTTGATGGGGATGGAGCGAGGAAGAGAAAACGAAGGAGCACCAGGGACAAGACCCCATCTGTGCTACACGGGAGACAGCCGCCAGAGCCGCAGACTCTGTGGCCAAAGAAAAGAGTCGTGTGGCAGTTTCAGCTCTTGGTCACTGAGCAGCTCTCCCAGGCTTGGCCTCTGAGCTGAAACAGGGGTTGGGTTCTTTGTTCTATAGCTTTCCTGTGCCACAGACAGTATCGTTCTTGGAGAGTTCATTATTTTTCTCATGAGAATGGAATTTTCTGAAGGATTCTGTCATATATCTTTGAAAAAGAAAATCGGTAATACACATATTTTTATGTATGTTCACTGGCACTAAAAAAGAAGAAAAAAATGCTTTGCCCTGTCCTTTGGATAGTTGCTGAGGTGATTCCAGGTTGCGAAACAATGTGCTGATGCTAGAGTCCCTCTCTGTCCATACGCTACTTCTAAATCCATATAGGCCTATGTAGCAAGAAGTATTCTATTTGCACTTTAAGAGAAAGTAGTTTCATCATTCACGTGATAGTAACACTACACAGATGACCTAACTTTGAGCTTCAAGTAGCTTCTAAGTGTTTGTTTCATTAGCCACAGCACAGACTTGGCCTTGCCCTCTTTTCTCTCTTGATAATTCTGCAGGGCTCAAAAGCCCAAGCCACTCCCGTCTACCCCGTTCCATCCCTGTGCCAGGGTTGCGCCTCATGAGACTCTCTCCAGACAGCCCTGTAACTATGCCTGCATGGCTCTGGGGAGACAAGAGGCTGACTACTAATTATCTTGTGCCAGTTGCCCAGGTGAGAGGGCACTGGGCCAAAAGAGTGGTCTTGTGCTCAACCTCCTGTAAGGGGTCATGGGAACCAGGAATGCTTAAGCACAGGATTCAATCCCAAACTTAGGGTCAAAATAAGTCATTTAGCATGTGCATTTTCTTGTAAAAGGAAGTTTCTACCCCTGTTGCCTTTTATAGGCAGGTCTGTTTCTCACCACTAATCTCTTTGAAAATCTTTGAAAGCAGTTTGTTTTTGTGTGTGTGTGTGTGTTTTTTTTTAAAGACAGATGAAAGCATCACATTATGTAACCAAAGATTACACTGTATCTGCTAAGATACCAAAATTTAAGAGCAGGGAGGGAACAAGCATTAGTGCCTCTTTGGTCAACTATCCAAAGACAGACCACAGGACTTTGTTGTTGACTGACTTGTAAGAGTTTGGTGGGTGTTTCCCCCAACAATATAAATGCTTAGAAAAGTGGAAGATAATTTTGAAAAAACTGGGTTTATAGGTCCTTCACTAAGTGATTTTATAAGCAAAACTAGCTTTCCTTTTCTCTAGTAGTTGCTGAGCAAATTCTTAAAGCTCCATTGTTGCATGGTTGGAAACGGAGCTGTCTTGGCCACTGTGTTTGCTAGTGCCCGTGTTAGCGTATCTGAAGATGTGAAGCCCTTGATGAGAAGGGGAGCATTTAAAGGACTCGATTTTGCACTAGAGGGACAGCAGGCAGAAATTCTCATTTCTGCCCACTTTGGACGGCACAAAAAGTTCTCTTGGGTTTAAGGCAGAAGGTTGAAATATATTGTAAATGAGTATTTGTATCCATGTTTCAAAATTGAATTATATATGTATAGATATAATGTGTTCTGATAGCTTTATCTTTCTCTGCACCTTTATACTTGGTTCCAGGTCATAACTGATACCCTGTACTTGTAAGAGAGGCTACAGTTACATTTTGGAAGCTCTCTCAGAATGGAAAAGATACGTGGGTTGATCAGATAACGAAGAGATCTCTGCCTCTATTGGGGCCTTACCCACAGGCCTAACAGAGGAGCAGAGGGGGAAAAGAATAGGGTACATGATGTATTGCACTTTACTAGCCCAAGACAGATGAATGTTTAAAGGGTGGTGAAGACTCATTGGAATCAACTGGGATTTCCCACAGAGAAGGCCCAGACTTGGGGCCAAAGGCCCACCCAAATGATTAACCGATGGACCCCTGATGGGACCTGAGCGTTGGAAGAAGGAGAAACATTCTTTGTTCTTCACCATCCTTGTGAGAAAAGGGCAGTTTCCTGCACTTGGGAACCTGGAGCAAGTGCTCCATCTTTTACACAATCCACTCACCTACGATTGAGGTGCTCTTGCTACTGGGTGTCTTGTGTGCTCTAATTTTGGTTTTGGATATGTTCTGTAAAGATTTCAACAATGAAAATGTGTTTTTATCTGTCAAAAAATTGTCAGTGTACTAGAAGTTGTATCTCTGTAGATGCAGGTCCATCTCTGCCCTTGGGTAGGGATGTTTTTCTTCAATTAAGAAATTGACACTGGGGTCTGCTGCCCAGAGCCTCCCAACCTTAAACCATTTCTAGGTGAAGGCAGAAAATTCCACATTAGTCACTCCTCCTCTTCAGATGCTTAGGCTGAGGTAACAATTTGGAATGTTCCTGCACCCAGAAATTAGTGATAAGTATTTCAATTTGGCAGGTAGACTTTTAAAGGGAAAAATGGCCTTTGATGCAGTTTTGATTTATCCCCATTCGATTAAGCCAAAAAATAATATGCATTGATTGGTTACCAACCCCAATTCAGTATAGTGGGGGTGCTGATCCCTTTCCTTACCTCACCTGTCTCTTAGCCTTCTATAAAATTAAATGAGGAGCTATGGACTGAGTAGCCCCTGTAGCCTAAAACAGTCTCCACATGCACTAATTCATGAGGCTGTCTGTCATATGGCTGCAGATTCCACTGGCCACCAAAGACTGAAACACATATGTATCCCAACAGAAAGAAATTCCTAAAATGTTGCTGCTTCTCTGGTGGCCCCCCTCCCTGGCTGCTGTTTTACCTTTTGGGACTCTGTTCCCTGCATTGCAGGCAGGCCAGGCCTGCAGTCTTTCCCATCCTTAGCCCTTGGTGCTAACTGTCCTGCAGTGAAGTGCCTGTGGGATTGTCCTATTCCATAAGCCACTCAGGTGCTGAGAGTAGCCACCATTGGGATAACCCAGGCTAAAAAAAAAAAAAAAAAAAAAAAGAGTCCCCTCACCATTCAGTGACACCTTTCTGCTTTCCCCTAGACTGGAACGTTGATTAGGGAGTGCCTCAGATGTGACATTCTTGTGCTGTCCTTGAGATTAATTTGGCAGCAAGAAGGAGCAGACAATGTAACCAGATGTAAGAATTAACTTTCAATGTTGAGGGAAAAAAGAAGAAAGCATCATATAAAGATTTAAAAAAAAAAAAAAAAAAACATTAATTTTGCTTGGAAGTTCTTTTGATGGGGCTTCAGTTCTTACAGCGGCACTTGGCCTCCACTGGGTAGCAGGACCAGCCCCAAGCGCTAGTGCTGTGTTCTTCTTTTTGTAATCTTGGAATCTTTTGTTGCTCTAAATACAATTAAAAATGGCAGAAACTTGTTTGTTGGAATACATGTGTGACTCTGGGTTTGTCTCTGTCTCTGCTTTCAGAAATGTCATCCATTGTGTAAAATACTGGCTTGCTGGTCTGCTGGTTAAAACTTGGCTGTGGCCCCTGTTGTGGCTGCAGGCTCAAGTTATTGTTAACAAAGAGACTCGAGAAAAGCTGCTAATGTCCTCTTATCACCACTCTTAATTTGTTAAAACATAAAACCATCTAAAATTTCAGGGAATGTCATCAGAGTTTTTTTAATTAGCTCTTTTTTTATTGGCTGTCTTTATTGAAGTCAAGAGTTGGTATCATGCCCAGTGGCCTTTTATGCTATGTTGATTTTCACATATTTTAAAAAATCTTTGCACAGGGGTTATAAATTTGTCCTGTGTTGGTCCTAGCATAGGTTGAGCTGGGACCACCAAAATATCAAAGAGTCTGGGCTAAGAAAGCACAGATGGACCCTGATGACCCATTACAACTTCTCATCAAAAACCCTGAGCTTGTCAAACAGGGGAAAGGCACACAAAACCCAGCTGTTTACCCTCATCTTCATCCTTATGGGAACATAAAATGATTGGGAGCTTCACTGCCCAGTTCTTGCCAAGCTTCAGATAAGGAATGGGCATGTTCACATGTTCACATTCTCACTGTTTTTCAAGAGCCATACCGTCCTTGGCCACCCAAGTAAAATCTGAACCAGCTTTCTTTGAGGTTTTTAAAGGTTTGGGCAAAGTGGCCTCCTGTCTCTTCCCAGTTTGGATACCAACATGAGATCCCAAGTTGAATTTCTGAGCTAAAGATACAGACCATCAATGAGGTGTGACATGCATTAAGGAACAGTATGAAAGCACTCTGTGCCTCAGTGTCCTCACCTGTAACAGGGGTTGTCACAATGCCTCTCTCCTGGGCCAGGCTAGAGATTCAATAAGAATGTATGGGACCCAGCTGGTGAGACAAATGCTCTTGCTTCATTCCCTGTTAAAATGTGAGAACCCCTGAGAAGGATCCCAAGTTGAGATGTATTTATCATTGACCCCCTCAGAGTGGATGGATTTCTCAAATTTTTCCTGAACACAATGCTTGACGGAGAGAAGAAGAAAACAAGAGATTTGGGAGATGTGTGTGTCTAAATAATAGAGAATACGTACGTTTGTGGGTTACGTGTGTCAGAATCTGCCTCCAGAAGACCCCTCTGACCACCATTGCTTAGTTCTCTTCTCTTGTACCTACAGAGAGTGGTCTAACAGCCACCCTACTTGGTTTTATTTACCACTCAGTCCCTGCCTAAAGTAACAAGGTAGTTAGCTTCCACCATAAATTTTCCAAGGTGTAGCAAAGCACAGAGGTCAGGGAGACAATGACATCTGGTGGATTTTAAAAAGAGCCTGGAATCCAGAGTCCAGTGTGTGACTTGTTCATAGTCATACAGCTAGTGTATAGCTAGGATTCTGACCTGCTGATTCACTTGCTATATGGTCCTGGGCAGCTCTCTGCCTTTTTCTAGATCTTAGTTTTCTCATCTATAAAATGAGTGTATTTGAAGATGTGGAATAAGACTAGACGAAATGGGAAGCCCCTTCCAATATGGAAACCATGCTTATTGCAAACTACAGTAACGCCTTTCTTAATCATGACATAAAAGGGGAAAGGAATGGGCGTTTCATTATCCCTGGAACGCGTAGTTTTGGAACTAAAATCCCCATATTTGTACTCAAGAAAAATTTACTGAATACCTGGAGAGCACAGGGTCAAAACAACAATTGAGTCCTGTGTTATCAATGCTGTCAACCCCTTGATTGATGGGAAAGGGCTCAAAAGTGAAATAATTTGTTTACCATTTGGATGAACTCATAAATAGCAGAGATACTTAGGAGTTAAGCAAGCCACGGTCCATGCTTTCATGAGTTTATAGCCTATTAAATGCCTCAGGCCAGGCCAGTCTGGGACTTTTTATCAAATCCACCCCCAACCTCTTTACATCCATCCCTCAGACAAGATTAGGCTAACTTTTGATCGATAATTGCTGCCTTTTAGAGATAGAAGGGGTCTTAGCATCTAGCCCAAACATTCTTCACATGAATCCAGGCCAAAAAAAAAAATTACATATATATATATATATAGTGAATTAGGACTTGTGGCAATGGACTAGCCCTAAAACACCAGCTTATAGTCCCTTCATATGCCTGCAGGCAAAATGCTAGGGTGACAGGGCACCTGAGAATCTTTACCATCCCTTTGCACATTGGTTCAGAACCCTGGTGTGAGAGCCTCTGCTTCTCATCTGTTTTTCCCATGTACACAGTTCAAGAATCTCTATTCCAACCACAACACGTACTTCGCCTACCATCCACTCCCCAAGAGGTTTTCTTCATGCCACTGCCGGGGGTGGGGTGAGAGGAGGAGAGAGTTATTGACAAAGCTGGAGAAGTAACTGCAGAAGCAATGAGAAACATTTAAAAGCACACTGAAGTATGACAATGTAGGCTTCTTAGTTAACAGGCAGATGCAGATGATTCACATTCTCAGATTCTCCTGCCACCATTTCTTCAGACCACAACTTCCATTCTTCCCTCAACTACTTCCCCAGGATACTTCAAGCAAGGAGAAGGCCATTTGGGGAACTTGGACTGGCTGCCAACCAGGAAGACTGTGCCAAGAAAGTGGACTTAAACCAGACTCTGCAAATAGCCCCACCCCTCCCAATCGCCATTGGGTACTTCAAATCTCAGATCAGAAAATAGGCCAGCAGAGCAGCAGATAACTGTGAGAGGCACATCACCTGCCACCTGGGCAGTGACACTTGTCCCCAAAGGAAGTAAGGCCTTTTGGTGCTTATACATAGTGGTAAGAGTGGATATGAAACTTGTGAAAGAGCCCCGCCACCTCTAAAGCCTGCAAGGATTCTTCACAGGGGTTCAATATCCAATTATTCCCTCATTCATTTGTTCTTTCATTTATTCACAAACTATTTGGGCAACCATTATGTACCCCACACAGGAACAAGACAGACATGGTCTCTGTCCTCATGGAGCTTCCAGTATTAGTGGGAGAGACAGAAAAAAACACAGACAATTGTAATATAATGTAATAGGTACTATGGTGAGGGAAGTTCAAGGTTCTGTTGAGGTACAGAAGAAGAATGCCTCTCATAGAGTAGTGGGAAGGTCTAGTCGGAATCCTTCTTAGAGCAGTCTAGGTTGTGACCCAAGATGGGGCTGAGGGTAAAGAAAAAGGCATTCTTCCTCAGTCAAGAGACAGCAGCCTTGTTAGGGAAACTATGAATAGTTTAGCCTGAGGGAAAAGTTGGAAGAAGGGTGTAGCTGTGAGAGAAGAGGGTAGAGAGGAGGCGCAAGCAAAGCCAATGAGGGCCTACGTGTCACCCTAAAGAATTTGTGCCTTTACCCCAAGTTTAAAGGGGAACTGTAGAAATCCTTGCCAGCATTTCAATTCCCAGAACATAAGATCTCTTCTGAATCTCACCACATCCGGTGGAGGCAGGAAGGTCAGAGATCAAACCCATTTTGCAGATAAGGGAACTGAGGCTCTATATGGTAAATAATTGGCAAGGCTGTTCCTGAATAATTAAGGGCCGAAAGTATAAACTGAAAAAAACTGAATCTCCTGATTTCCAGTCTCAGGCTTCCCAGAGTAGACCAATCTATCAAAGACTTTAGGACCTGATGCAATTCTTAGAATGTGTCTAAATGTCTCTGTGGTGACAGTATGTGCTGTCTACTATCCCACCTGTACCTACCATTGTCTTCCTGAGGTGACACTCACTGGCATAGGGTTCCTAGATAGCAGACAGGGCATCCCAGAGAGTGGTAGCAACATTTTAAAGAGTAATGCAGGCTGTGGGAAGTCAGCCAACTTGGTGTTCTGTGAGCACGGGGCATCACTGATTGATCAAAACAGGAATTCGGAAAAAAATGCCGTGGACATTCCACATTTCTAGAGAAGATAGTATGTCCAGACTCAGGCCTTGAACAGTGAAAGGAAATTTCACAGGAGGGAAACGTAGCTGAGCAGAGAAGCAAAGCAGAGGGGACAGCATAGATAAATATCTAAGAGGCAGGAAAGAGTATGGCTTTGACAAAGCAAATAGGAACTAGTAAGGAGAAATAAGATAAAAACAGACAGGGAGGCAAACCACAAGAGACTCTTAACGCTAGAGAACAAACTTGAGAGTTGCCAGAGGGGAAGCGGGTCGGGGGATGGGGTAACTGGGTGATGGGCATGAAGGAGGGCACTTGATGTAATGAGCACTGGGTGTTCTATGCAACTTATGAATTCTACCCCTGAAACTAATAATACACTATATGTTAACTAACTTAAATTTAAATAAAATCTAAAAAAAAAAAAAAAAACTAGTGGGGAGTAAGTGCTAGAGATGAGTCTGGGCTAGAGCTCATTATGAAAAGCCCATGTATCCTGTTAAGAAGTGGAACTTTTTCTGTAGGCCGGTCATTCTCAGCTGCCATATGTGAAAGCTAAAGGCGGCATGTGACATACTCTCAAGGGAGCTTCCAGTGTTCCATGCAATTGCTGACACACAGTTATTGCTCAGCCCTTCCCTCCCACTTACAAAAGCAAATACAGGTAAGACTGACAGTATCGAAAGGAAAAATGTGAACCTCCTAGTGTATATTTTTTAAGAAAATATCCACCAACTTTAATGTTTAAGGTATTATCAACAATTTCTTTTTTGCCACAACTCACAACTGATTATAGAACACCACTTGACATAATTAAGGATTTTTTTTAACAAAAATGTAACAATTAGTTTTGGGAGATGGAAGCTATACTAAAACATTATATAAGAATACAATAGAGGGTGACACAGAGATTGACTCAGGGAATAATAATAGAATGTACTAAGCACTTACTATGTGCCAAGAATTGCTAAAGCTAAACTTCTTATACTGAGAATTACATAATCCTCAAATCAACCCTATCAGTTGAGCATAGTTACTCCCATTATATCGATGAAGAACCTGAGGCTCTG